ACGACTCCACGAACACCTCCGAAACAACGGATACCGTCAACTCAAATCAGATCCATCACTGTTCACCAAACAGGCACACAACAACCTGATCATTATAGCAGTCAGCATGGATGACTTCCTAGCAGCCGCCACGACCCCCAAACTCAATGACGAGCTGTACAACACATTGCGCCAGAAATACCAAATCAAGAGGCTGGGCAAACCCAAAGCATACCTCAACTGGTACATAACATACACACAGCACGGGATACATGTCTCTCAACCACAGCACATACAGCATGTCACCGCATACTTGCGCATGAACGAAAGCAACCACGTTGACACACCATACCTCCACGGCATCAGTGTAGATCCACCGAAAAACACAGATGAACAGTACCCAGCCATACAAGACACATACCGCACAGCGCTAGGAGAGATACGGTACATAGCTGACAGTACCAGACCAGACATTGCATTCGCAACAGCGGCACTGGCGCGTGCACTGCAAAGCCCCACCAAGAGACACTGGAGACTGCTAAAAAGGCTAGCGCAATATTTACACAGCACACGCAGCCACGGCATACTCTTCCCCAAATCAAAGAAACAACAGCCCACCATCACGAGCTACACAGACGCCGACTTTGCCAACGACACGACCACGCGAAAATCGTTCTCCGGCATGGCCGTTACCCTCCACAACGCGACCATACACTGGCAGGCCAAACAACAGCCCATTGTAGCTAAAAGTACATGTGAAGCCGAGTATATGGCGGCCGCCGAGGCGGCAACCCACACCATATGGATCCGCAACATGATGTCGGAAATAGGCATCCCCACGCCAACGGCGGCCATGCACATTGACAACGCCGCCGCCGCTCGCATGGCAAACCAACAAGCGCCCACAGAGAGAAGAAAGTGCATTGACATCAAATACCACTACCTACAAGACACAACAAAAAATGGTGCCATATCAATTCACCGAGTACCAACACACGACATGCCAGCGGACCTGATGACCAAACCGCTCAAGAGAGACACATTCACAAAACACCGCACGCGACTCAACGTCACCCCCCCACCCACCGAGGCTGTCACTTTCCACCCCGAAACTAGGCAATACGCGCGCCAGGGGGACTGTGATTCCACACAAAAAGAGGGAAAGACGCGCGCATTGCTCTCCCGCCCCACTACGAAAAACACAGCGATTCCACACAAACAGGCAAATAAGGCACAGCCTTATTTATAGACGTACGATAGGACATAGAGTCAGTAAATATACCGGCGCCGGCGGCCCCCCGCGGTCAGGGGGACCCCGGCATCCGGATCTCTTGGTTCACACAGAACATGCTTATATTTAGAAAACCCCGTCGCAATTGATTGTCGAACTTTTGTTCTCTATTGAGCGTGATACCCTTGCAGCAGTGCACGCCTTGCTTTTCTAAGATGCATACACGTGTCAAAATTCGTGACAAGCGGTTTTGACCTGCACTATTGGCGGTTTGCACTACTCACAACTGCACTATTGAGGAGATACTCTCTGTAGGACATTTTCCTTTAATTTTTAATCTTGTCAATGGTATTTGAGGTCAATAAAATTGCCTTGTTTTTCGGATTCACAGAAGGGTCTTCAATAGCGCATAATATGCCGCACAGCACACTGCGACTAGCCTCATGGTGCCGAACTACTTTTTCTCGTCCTCTGTTCCGGTGCAGTTATAGCTTCCTTTGAAAAGCTGCCCTCTCACTCGGACAGGGGCGGGAGAATACAGCACCTTCGGCAAAATCCATCACCTTTCTGCAAACTGAAACGGCAAGCGTAGGTGCTGCACATATCCGCACGTGAGAAAAGGAGTCTTTTCGCGAAAATCTCCAACCAATTCTTGTTCCACGGCTTACTTTCTCACATGTCAGGAAACAACAACCGCAACCGCCAGTCCAATGGAATATCGGGAGGTTCACTCCTCGGGGCTGCTGTGGGCGTCATGGTGGGGTTCGCAGTGGTTGAGCACACGCAAGCGCAACAGGAAAACCGAGAAAGTGTCGTACAGGGCATGTTGCGCTGGGTCCGAGAAGATTTGCTCGACCTTCCATCTGGGCAGCGACGCGGGACAGCCACTAGGGCCGCCGCCCGTCGCATACTTACCCGCTCCGACATTGCTGCGCTTCCCATTCGAACTTTACAAGATGATGACCTCACGAAGGGTCCGGCCAGTCAACATGTCGATGGCAAGGCCCATTGCGTTATTTGCCGTGACCCGTATAGTTCCGGCGACAACGTAATGACTTTGCCTTGTTTCCATGATTATCACACAGATTGTATTCGCGAATATCTAGAATCAACTCAAGGTCCTCTCTGCCCTGTTTGTCGACACCCAGTTTCCTTGTCATGATTAGTTTTTTTCACATTGCTTCTCCTTCTGGCGCAGAAGTCGTGTCGCCTCTTCAAGTGGTTTGGTGTGAAAACAAATTATACGTTGGCGAATGACGAAGCTAATCTCATAGCTGCTAATCTCACAGTGTTTGAAAAGCGTTAATGTTACTATGCCGCTGTGAAAAACTCGCTATCGTGTCGATAGCTTGTTCTTGACGAAGCCACTGAAAGTCCAATTACGCTGTGCTTCACTTAAAGACAGGTGCACCATCAATAGTTGAAGTTTCGAAGTTAATTCATCTAGTCAGCCACGTGAAGAGATCGTTTCCATTGCAAACCTCGCATAATGGATGCATATATCAGGTAGAAATCGAGCCCCAGAAATCAGATGGCTTTCAGGACGAAACGGAAAAGTGAATCAGACCCCCAGGCGTGTTGAACGCTTACAGAATGGGCCTGTGATTTTTCGTGAGGATCAGGTGATAGGGAATTGGAAAACGTCACACTGTTATGCTGATGCGAATAACTCAGTCTCACCACTGAGTAATTTCCATTTGAGGAAAGGGGCTGTGATTTAGAATCAATTTTAGGTGGCGACTCTCGAGAAAGCCGTGTGTTTGTGCGATGGCTGCAAGTTTCGGACGAAAAGGAATAACGAGAAGTGGTTTGCAGAGACCATTCTTCTAGTATGCCAGGGAACAGCCCGATTCGAACCGTGTATCAGTTTTGTGAACGTGACATTGCGTTCCAACACAATTGTACGTAGCTTTAGATAGAGCAACACAATTTGGAAATGCTCGTATTCCCATTTAACTTTGTGCCTCGTCATCGTTTGTGTTGGCATGGAAATTCGGCGGAGTGAACAGAGCTGCAATTTCTTCGCGTACTGAGATACTGAAGATGTAAAGCAATCCTTCAACGTTTAAGCCCCGAGTGCCCTCAAGATATTCGTCGCGGGATTACTGTTGGGCACATACTGTACTGAGGTTAACTGCGAAAAGAACAGATGTTCATGCACTCGATTCCTAGACGCCTCCTACTACATTTGATATTTGACTTCATGATGAGTCCCGTAGTGCAGCCGCCGATGAACATGTGCACATACAGTATGTTGTGCGGTTAAAGCCGTCATACTGTCAAGTGCCTTCTGTACTACTGTAGATAGACGACAGGCGATTTGCCTCGTAAGCGGCCAGCTTTTTTACCCAATATATACGGTAGATCGCGTATTTACAACGTCAATTTAGACACCATTTCGTTGTCGTGCTTGCCCTCCGCAATGATATCTTGCAGATCACGGGGATAATGTAGCAGGTTTGAATACAATGGAAGACTAAGACTCTAATAGAGTTTAAACCACGAGGTGATTTTTTTGAAGGTGCGTTTTGAATTTGAAGGTATCAACGCAAAAGGTTTCAAGTTTGCTCACTAAGGCTCCTTTGCCAGGCATTACTAAAAACAACTGGGAAGGACATGTAGCCTTACTAAATCCATCCTTCCGCAACGCAGAAGTCAAGTGCGGTGGCGAGGGGATGTTTCCTCGTCTTATTGAGAAAGCAAAAGTCCAGATTAATAAGTTGAAAAGTAACCTCATACAATACGGTATGAGATCACTTCAAGCTCACTTCAGCCTTGTCGCACGGAACATACACAGATACGCACCGCACGTCTTTAACTTCGCTTCTACAAGGCTGGTCCGCCTTCTCGAGTTCACTCGACAAGCACATTTGACACTGTACTCAAGGGAACTGTGCAAATTGAGACCTAGGAGGGTGCCCTTCGGTGGGTACTGCATGATTGGCACAATACTGTACTTTTTATGTGCAAAAACATTAGTTTTTTGGAAATTGCCCCCTTTCCACTGCTACTGTAAGTTGGAGTGTGTTCACTGAATATACATACTATCGCACAGATACTTGGCCAAGTCGACTGAATTTTCTTTCGTAAACCCTCTACAGGGGGTCTCCTCAATAGTTCGCTTTACAATAGTGCACATGGCCAAAAGTGCATCCCTTTCAGGGATGTCACAACTCTTGCCACGTGTACACCTGTGGACGTGGAGCCATGCCGATGTAGATGCACACCGCTGTGCTGCGGTTGACGACCACGACCGGACACCCCGACCACCGATGGCGATCACCGCGACCACCGACCTATCATCAACAAGCGCGCAAGAAGCGACGTCAAATGCTCATATCGGAGCATTTTGTGGCCGGTGGGCTGTGACCTGTGGATGGACCTTTATTAGTTCGCGCTGTCAGTAGTGCGTATCTATAACTGATGGCACAAGGGGGCACTATTGAGGGGTACCCACTGTATTAATAAGAAACCAACGCCAACCTAAACGTCGCACCCACACATCAATTGGGTGCCCCTAACCGTAAACATTTGCCCTTCGCAGCTCCGCCTCGATTCGGCATCATACACGGTCTTATCCATTCGTCGCGTGGTAGACTTGAGGCGAAAAGCAGCGTTGCATGGAAAAACTTGGTGGTCCAAGTGCGGTATCGGGAACATTACACGGACGGGTTCGGGCCCTCTTGAACTTTTTTCCTCTCACCCTTCACAACGTATTTTCCCCACGCGCTGCTGGACTGTCAAATTTGCATTGCGGTTTATATCAAGTCGCACATTCGTGAGTCTTCAACGGCGCTGGAGGAAAAGGTTGCATCACAAAGAAGCCGTTTCATCTTCGATCTCCGGCAAGATAAGGACGTTCATTAAATATTGGTAGACATGGCGGTGAAAGTCGCACATCGCAAGAAGATGATCCATATTACTCTCATTGCAGCACTTTTTTCCATCGTCGACTCCGCGCCTGGTGGGGAGCTGTACGCGACGGGCCAGGTAAGTCGTTTGCATTGTTTTAAAGTGTAGACGAAGTCCACTGTCGGGTCTGCTAACTGCTCTCAATGGTCTGCCTGCTTGCTCTGCGAAACGAATCGGGGGCAGTCCATGGAATTATGGGTTAACAAAATAGGCCCGTACAGTTCCCCGACTGAGAGCTACGGATTCTTTGATAAATTGTCGTGGTGTCGACCAGCGATACTAGAGCATCGCAGCCTTAAACTTGGTGAGACACTGGCAGGGGATCATTTTGTCAAGTCTACGTACAACATTTCGTTCCGAGATCCGCTGGAATCGACGGAATTGTGTGAGAAGTCGTTCACAGCTGCAGAGATCTCCGCGTTTATTCGTGCAGTGCGCAAGCGATTCGTGTATGACCTCCTCCTTGACAACCTTCCCATGAAACTATTTGTTGGAGAACTGAGCGACGACGAACAAGCCCCAAAGGCATACTTATACACGAATATTCAATTCACAATCAGCGTTAACGGAGGTCATGTGGTAGAGGCGTCGGCAACTCCTGGACAGCCAATTGAGCTTAAAGAAGGCACCCCTGCCAAAGTCTTGTTTTCCTATGCTGTGGACTGGAAAGAGGTAAGTTTAGACCCAATCATTGTCGATGAGCCCTTCATATGGTGCGACTAGTGCCTAACTGGAAATCTGTGCTATTGAATGACTTTTGCTTTTTATTGCTTTGCTTCCGCCTGGCAGACGGAGTTTCCTTTTGAGCGTAGAGGCGAGAAGTACAAAGATCCTTTTCACGTGAGGGACAAGGAAATACATTGGTTTAGTGTTGGAAATGCACTCCTTAGCGTATTGCTCCTCATGGGGTTACTAGGATCTATTCTCATGCGCGTCATTCGCAAGGATTTCAGAGAGTACGAGGCCCTAGAAGCAGACGACGAGTCTGATGATTTCGGCTGGAAGCTATTGTATGGGGACGTATTTCGTTTTCCACAGGGGCTTTGCTTGCTGTGTCCGTTTCTTGGTACTGGAGTGCAGCTGCTTATTCTATCTGCCATTTTGTTAATGTTTGGTGCACTGGAGTTTTTCCACCCACTATCGAGGGGGACCATTTATACTACAGCCGTACTATGTTACGCAGCGACAGCATGGATTGCCGGATTCACCTCTGGGTATATGTACAAGCAAATGGGGGGAGGCGCGTGGGTGCGAAATGCATTTGTCACTGTGTTTGTATTCTGCGGGCCAGCCGCATTGATCCATATGTATTTGAACTCTGTGGCTTTTCTATATAGCTCAACAAGGGCGCTACCCTTGTGGAGTGTTGCATCAATATCACTACTTTGGGCAGTCGTGACAATTCCTCTCACCGTGTTTGGGGCTATCTTAGGGAAGAATCAGAGTCGTCCATATGATGCTCCTGGGAGGACGACTAAGATACCTCGTGAAATTCCCTCTAGCCCATGGTACCGGAGGCCTTGGTTTCTCGCGATTGCCTGTGGACTGATGCCTTTCAGCTCAATATATGTGGAGATTTACTTCATCTTCGGAGCGGCCTGGGGGCACAAGATATTCCAGGTCTACGAGATGCTGGCCATTGTGTTTGTCATACTAATGTTGGTTACAACAATCACGACGGTATCTGCTGTGTACTTTCAACTCGTTGCTGAAAACTACAAGTGGGCTTGGGCGAGCCTCGGATATGGAGGTAGTGTTGGCGCGTATGTTTTCGCGTATAGCGCGTTCTACTACTACTTAAGATCACCACTGGAAGGGTTCATGCAGGGAAGCTTCTTCTTTGGTTGCATGTTGCTGGTGAGCTATGCATTTTTCTTGATGTGCGGTACAGTTGGCTTTTTCTCGGCCCGGCGATTTGTGCGGTTTTTGTATTCGTCGGTGAAGAGCGACTAGACAGGCCATGTTGAAATGCAACCAAAGAAGGGCCATACGAAATTGCAGGTCTTCCCTTCTCCAAATGTCAAGCAATGTCGAAGCTGAACATGCTTCGTATGTGCAGGAACGCAGAAGTGCTGGCTTCTGCGAGACGGCTCAAGGGAAGATGCGAATCGGGAACTGCATCACTGCAAGCAATATAAGAATTCAGCTCAGTGCCATAGAGATGGAGCATACGCAGGCATATGTGCACCAGGTGGTCCACATACCACATTCTCGAGGTGCTTCAAGACTATATGAAATCAGGAGCAAAGAGAAACGAATGGGCCAGCAACATTTGTGAACAACTGGTGGGATTCGCCTTGAAACGTGTAATGCACGTGTATGGAGCCTACACCAGATATTGAGACATATTTCGAAGAATTAAAGATATTGACAATCATGCTTTTTGGTGCCGTTGCCAATTTGACAAGAAGTGGCAGGGGTCAAACTGGTCGATTTTCTACACGGCGTGATGGTGATGCCACGGACACTCCATCCACATGTGAAAGTACAGTTCAGGGTCGTTCCTAACGACGAGCACGGTGTGCTAGCACGCAAGCACCCTGACATTTGGCATGAATGGATTGGTTGAACGGGAGTAAAAGCATTTCCAATAATTTTTTCAACCAATACATTCATGCCAAGTTTCAGGGTGCTTGCGTGCTAGCACACCGTGCTCGTCGTTAGGAACGGCCCTCAGTCACATTGTACCCGAAAGCCAGCGGAAACGCCTGGCACACACGTAGTCGGGCCTCTGTCAACAAATCATTCAAGGTACAGGCAACGTCGACCCACTTGTCTAGGCGCTCGCCTCTTTCCCTGTAAGAGAGGCGCTTAGACCATTATACAAGGATCGAAGTGATACGTATCTCAGGCGGTTCGTGAACTGACTGCACAGAGCTGTTGTTCTCAATCCTCTTGCCCCGACGTCAGTGTCCCTTCCTGCGTGGAATTGCTAAGTCATTTGCGCAGTAGTCCGTGTCATCGCTACACCAAATTGCAGCTTTGCTTGACGGCGAGGTGGACTTGCCAAAAGCCAAAACGTGCTGACTCTGTCGAGCTTCTGCAGGTGTCATCGGCGGCGTCGCTCGGGATGAGATGCAAACAGAGTCCAGTTACCCAGCTCAAGTAATCGCTGAACAAACCGCCTCAAGCGGCTTTGTGCCACCGTCATGGTCTGACTTAGCCCCGTTACTCAAAGCATCTTCGTTGTTATGGATATGCATTTTGCTTTTTGGGCTAGCCCGCTCAGCTATTTACCAATCATTTCATTCGGAAAAGTTTCGCTCTATTCTCAAACAGGCGAAGCGGGAACGGCGAACTCGCGCACCTCTTCTATTGTGTGCGAAGGCCATCCGTAATCTACGCGTCTTTCTTTTCAGAAACAAGTTTCCAGAAACTGCTACGGCGCAATTCTTTGGTCTGCCTCGATTCATCTCAGGTGTGGTAGTGTGCATTTTGTACATTATCGACACTTATATGCAGGGGATTCCTTTACACTACTACGTATTTCAATGCATTTACGGAGTCGCAATATCTATCAATCTGTTTCTGGCGTTTATTTATGCCGAGCGGCCAGTACTGTTTGCGTTTAGTCTGAAGACCATCGTGGAGTGTTTGTCTATCCCGAGTTTGATGCTTTCTTCGGGAGGACGATGGTTAAACTTTAACTTTCTGCAAGCCTACTGCATTCTAGTTGAATGGGGACTTCTCGAGAAGTATGATATTGTCATGAGAAACAATTCTACTCTCACACGCCTACTGATCAACCTCTTCCTTCAGCTGCTCACTTTTCTATTCATCACCTCGTGTGGAGTACAGTTTTTTGAGTTGCTTGGCGATCCTGGACAAACCTTAAGGTCTGAAACGTTTCAGATTACTTGGGCAAATTCTGTTTACTTTGCAGTGGTAACACTGATGACTGTGGGGTACGGGGATTTTGTGCCTTACACACTTCTTGGACGAATGTGGATTGTGTTTCATATTATATTCGCCGCATATCTGGTTTCGAGAGAAATATCGCTGCTCATAGATGCCTTGAAAAGCATGCGTCGTGGCGGAGGCTCTTATGTAAACTCGTCAGGGACAGAACATGTCGTAGTTACAGGTCGTGTCAAGTGGGAGTTCTTGCAACAGTTTGTCAAAGAATTTCTTGCAGAGGCGAGCAATCTAGACACTAGAGTCATTATCTTGACCTCGAACCCGAACTGGACTGATGATGAGTGGCTTAAGTTTGTCGCTCACAATCCATTTTTCGACCATCATCTCATGTACTTGGATGGTTCGGCTCTGAAGACAGATGACTTGAACAGAGCGCACGTGGGGGCCGCAAGGGGGGTCTTCGTACTCGCAGACCCTCACCGTCGAGATCCTTACAAAGAAGACTCTGACATTCTCAAAGCTGTTCTGACAATTCGCAACTACTCTGGAACCGTCCCTATTTATACTCTTAATACTTTGCATGAATCATCATTTCAATTCGGTATAGCAATGGAGCACCTAGATCCACTTGCTAATGATCTCTTTCATCGCATTGGATCTGTCTTGCCCTACTCTAGGACTTTTCTTGACATCCCACAAGGGCCGTTAACGGGACAAGCGTTCGAACGTGGCATTCAAGACATGCGGTCCCCAGATTTATCCGCAAGAAATGGCATTGATCGCGAAGACTCGACCGTTCTTGACACAGGGCCCCATGATTTATATTCTAGGGAAGAAGACTTTGGTGGTATGGCGAACTCCTCTGATGGAATAAGCATCCAAGGCGGAACGCAAAGGGTGAACAGCAGACATTCTCTTTCAAAACATAATGGTCAGCAGCGGAAGAGTGAAAGTTTATGCGTACAAGAGCTGGAGACTGTACTGCTTGCTGAGAATGTGTTCTGCAACGGCCTAAGCACTCTTATTGCCAACGCAACACTTCGCGTTGCGCCGCAATCGAACCGCAATGATCGTCCATGGCTCGTTGAATATAAACTGGGGGCCGAGTGTTGTATTCAGCAGTTTCTAGTTCCCGAAGATCTAGATGGTCTCGCGTTTGGAAGAATTGGAACCATTCTGCAAGATTATGGACTTGTTTTACTCGCTGTTCGGCGACCAACAGACAAAGAGTGGATTCTACTAACAGTGGAGATAATCTTAGAAGCCAAGATGGTATGTATGGCGCTATCGTACCATGACCATAGTGTGATTGGCAAGATAGCAGACCACGCAGCTCAGTTTATTGTACAAGAAAGTGGTATTGTGCAAGAGACAACTCAGGGGGCAGACCGGAATGAGTTGAAACGCAGACCTACCACTAGATCGGTCCAAAAACTCGAGGGAGTCGGTGATACTGTGAAAGGAGATTTTAGACATTTTGATTCTGATTCAGCTGCTTCCGACATTGTGGAAGAGTCGCATGTGACAACACGAGTTCCTGTTGCCGGTGGTGAGAAAGACATGGCTCGTCCATTTCCTGCACCTAACTCGCAGAAAACAATCGATATGTCTGATTCAGGCGCACCAGTAGCTCAACAACTGTCTCTCGCAAATACAGTGCCAAAGAAAGTCATATCGCGATCAATGTCCACATCGACAGCTCGCGATTTCAAACGAATGAGACGAAACTTCGAAGATGACATAGGTGAAAGAGCTGAAAGCAAACCTGCCGCACCCAGGCGGCTGTCACACACAGGAAATCGTAATCGCAGTAGTAGCCAAGATTCCTCAAGACGTGACACGAGGCCCAAGAAATCTATTTATACGAACCAAGACAAGCTTCCCGCTGCTCTGCGGGGTCATATAATTATCTGCTTGGACGGCGAGAGCCCATTGATTAATCTTGAAGTTTTGCTGCGACGAATATGGCTAGCGAGAGCTGGGGTGAAGAAGAATGCCCCTGTTGTTGTCATTCACCCACGCTTTCCGAAAAACTTTCCCCGGCAGATTGGAGGTCACAAGGACGGGCTGTTTTTGTTGCAAGGCAATTCGTTGTCGTTGGACACGCTGAAGCAGGCGCAGTATCAGAGTGCACGAGCATTTCTCATCATGGCTTCCGAGAGCAACCAGGCCACCGGAGCTGGATCAACAGATTCGAAGGCAATTTTCACCGTAATGACCCTTGACTCTCTTCTAGCGGATCAAGACAGTTTCGTCTGTTGCGTTTTGGACGCGGAGGAGTCATTACAGTTGCTCCGTGCACCAAAGCAAGCAAGGCGTGTGGGAGTAAATCTCGGTGAACTTCGCGAATCTGACGTCTTCACGTACGAATCTTCCCCCATGGACACGCTACCCGAGCGCACTTTTTCTTCTACCAGTTTAGTTCGGAGACTTCCACCATCACCGTTTGTTGGAAACTACGGCGGTTCGGCTCATTACGGTACGTTTTCCGGCATGTGGCCGCCCGACATAGCCGCAAATCTGCAGTCTCGAAAGCCTTTTAATAGGAATAGTCGCCTACGACTAAAGGGAATGACTCGTTCAAGCAGCATGCGCTTGGACCATGATGATTCTAGTGATGACGATGACCGCCGCGGTTCCGATATTCATACTCTACGAGATCAGCACCATAATCAAGAAAGGTCTGGAGAGGAATATTACGAGCGGCAGCGTTACGCATCGGGAGAGATGGTAATTTCTTCGTTGTTTACGGCGCTTCTGGCGCGTGAGTACACAGACCCAGGATATATCCGGCTAATCCGTCAGTTAGTTGGTGCAGCATCTGGGTCGAAAGGTAGTTGGATTCGACAGATTGATATTCCGGAGGCTTGGACTCGTGCTGAAAATGCTATAGATGGTCGAACTTATCGACAAACTTCCCAGAAGCTGCTTAGCATGGGCTCGATTGCCCTCGGTCTCTATCGTTCAGGTGATGCAGCGGTCCGCGTGGAAACAGAAAGTGAGCAATGGGAACGTCGGGTTTCCGAGGTTGTTTATCTAGAAGAAGAAGAAATATCTGTTCTCAGATCAGAGGCGGAGTCCAGGAGCATTGCCAGCAGGTTAATCAACACCGAAGCTTACTCAGACCGCCGCTTGGGGCGGGCAGTCAGTGGACATGGAAGACAAGAGTCGGCTATTTTAACAGGCCCGGGTCTGCGTTCGAATAGGGTATCATTCTCCGAACAGTTAAGAACGAGAGAAGACTTGGACGAATTCGACAAGAGGCATTACACGTGCCCATCGACAAAGCGCCGGATCTTTTATCAAGAGGCTGTCAACGGAGAAAACGTCCTACCATACGTCTACTGTTGTCCAGAACCGTATTCTCTGGTAGCGCCAAGCGACGCAGTATTTGTCCTATGCCATCCTGCGACTATCATTCCTCCCAACTGGGGTGAGGGGTGATTTCAACATGAGAGCTGGCATTGGAACTCTTAATTGCCTGGACAACCATTCCGAGGGTCCCAGCCCTGTGTCGGTCAGAGAACTGCTTGGGCGAAGGCTTCACAATTGATGCGATCTCTCACATCCATCCCAGTGTAGATTCCTCACCATTCGGCTGTTTTGGCGATCCTGGCGACCATCGCTGCTGAAACGCGTCGCGAACCTTGTTTGCTTAAACTGGTTTGTAGAAACGAGGCTGGGCCAGCTTTTCTATTTGCCGTTATAGAGACTATTTTTTGCCGCCCTGCAAGTGCAAGTGCAACCCCTCCATCTTTCAAAAGTGTTGTGCTCCTTGGAGATGCCCGTTTTCGTTTCTGATTCTTCAATCTCGCTTCCGTGCGCCGCGCGTTTTTACTGCTTTGATGTGCACCGATAGTCCCTTGTACGGCTTGTAGCACTTCTGCGGAAAGTACCCGTGGCGGGGTGTCGTGGTAAAGTGAACGCTCGTGATATGATAGCGTCTTATTCTGTTCACTCTCCGGTGACAGAAGCAATCGAGCACGACGACGACTTTTTCGCTTCCGCTTAAGTGCGGAGGTAACAAGCCCTTCCTGTTCCCTCTGTAGACGAGCCGAGGACATTGCTGCTGCAAAGGACTCGACGTCAGGGGCATCCGGATCTGCACTGTGAGACGCTGTTAGACCAGGGGCGGTGTCATCCTGAATTCCTGGAGACAGCGCTTTCGGAGGTAGTGCCTCGGTCTTCTGCTGGGGTTGATGTTGATCTTCTAGAGCCTCAATCGCCGTTGATTTTTTCTGACAAGTCCGGTTGGGATTGATAGTCTTCAATTGGGCAACTTGGGATTCTTCATTGTGATTTGCAGGTTTGTTTGGTGGTGGTGGTGGTGGCGGCGGCGGATCGTCCGGAAGAGCGTTGGCCAATGCTGCATTTGGTGGAGGTGACGGGAAGTTGGACCGTCGAGTAGAGACCATCTTGAAGGGTCAAGACAGGAAGGTCTTATGAAGCTGACATCCCCGGGGGCTTGCCGTAGTACTAAATGATTGCTGGGTTGAAAATGTACGCCGACGAAATGCTGAAATCGCTACAGGAGAGGGGGCGGGGGGGGGGGGGGGGGGGCGATATAGTGCCATCTTTGTTAGTGCCACATCCGATATAGTGCTATCCTCCGCGGGTGGCACGAATTTTGAGCCAAAAACGAAAGGGTCTCCAGAGAGGCAGTTGGATGGACATGCTACCCGAGAGCCGCTGCCGCCGCGGAAAGATGTTATGCAATTGCTAACTCAACTAGAGACTGTGGAGGAAAATGATGCAATTGGACATCTGCGAAAGTTTGGCATTCGAGGCCGGGAAAAAGGTGGAAGTTATTGCAACGGCTCGGCAGCTACTAATAGCTCGATTAGACTTGAGTCTTAAGTGTAGAGATAAAAGTATGGGTGATGGCGTCCTGCGGGCGGTCTTTCTGAACAGTGATGCAAGGAAGTGGCTGCAAAACGGCCGTAAATCTCATTCTCTCATAGTGCCTGGTTTGAAATACTGCCCTTTTCGGCCCACTGCCGCAGGGTAGCACTATACCGCGATCCCTCCTGTACGTGTAGCGAGGACGATTTGGGATGAACCACCTGTCATTACGCGTACGTGTGTACAGTGTACACGTGTACAAATGCACCCGTAGAGACGGCGGAGGGGGCTACCCTTAAGGATGTGCCCGACGATCTTTCAAAGCTTCTGATTGGTCCGATCCAGACGCTCATCAGACGATTGTGGCCATTTATTTCGATGATCCGTTACAGTTTTGACCAATCCCGTGGTCGAGCGAAGCACAGTCTTTATGGATGTTCCCGATGCGCCACATCCCCTTGAGACAGTGGGCACAGTGTTTTACACGGCCAAGTCCAGAGTCACGTTGAGGAGCGCAAGCAAGTCCCCATACCCAACCGACGCATTCCACCCGTGACTCCAGGCGCCGTCGAAAGAGAGGTCAGGCGCATCTCCGGATCGCCCATTCTCAGACTCAAGCGAAACGTCGAGGGCATGCATGCATTCCGCTTTGGCAGCGCATACAATCTTGTCCCGAAGCCCAGCATCCTCAAGGTACCGGTACGAAACTGTGTCGTCGATGCCCGGCCCCATTCCCGTCAGCGCTGCGAAAGTGTTTATCTTTTGTAGAGAGCCTCCACGCACCACAATCGCGATTGAGGCCAACACGTTCAACAAAGCGGGCGAGCGAGCAGAGTGCGCATCAAGGCGGTCTTTAGAGCCTCGGTTCAAGCGGAACTCCACCAGACACGGGCTGCACTTCACTGACACGACAATGGCCCGCCCCTCAACAATCGTCCCTCGCTGTATAATGTGCAGAGCGTCAACAGCAGCGCCGCCATGGGCGAAGCATCGGCCCCGACACGCCAGACTGAGCACTAGTTCTGTCCGCAATGTCATAAAAGACGGCAAGTCGCACTCATTCATTATCTCCAAAGGCTCCTGGGCACGGCCTATCTTCTCTTTGCTTGGATTTGCTACTTGGTACAGACGTAGAGCAACAGTCGTGCCTCGTGTGCAGCGATGCCCGCCAACGGGGTCAACCAGATCGTCGTCACTCTCCATGCTGGCCGCAGGCATGCGCAGCGCAGCAGCGTTGACCGTCGGGGCATTCGGAAAGCAAAACCTACGCCGCTTTGAGCGCACGACAACCACAGCTCGGTCACTGTCCAGCCCTAGCGACCGCCTGCGATCTTTCCGCTTCCCAGGGGCGCTCTTGGAACCTAGAATAGCTTTGTTGACAGTGTGCCTAACGCTACTAGGAATGATCTCCCTAACCACCAATCTGGCTGCCCTGCGTCGGTCTCTCGCGGATATGACACCGTCTGCGCGTCCATGCTGCGCGCTTACATGTCGCATGACTCCGTAGACAGAGCCAGGAAACGCGCTCTGTATAGGAACGTTAGATATCTAAGGCGTAGAAGGAGCAAAAGTGCTGCAAACACGACAAAAAGAGTTAACAATTGATTGAGCCGGATGCATGAGCAAAAAGTAGTGTGGTTCCTTCAATCCCATTTGGCAAAAAAGTTCTCCCGTCCACATGTGAGGCGCAGTCTTGGCAATCGTTTGCCGAAGTTTAAAAGATTTTCATCTCTTCGTTTTCCGTACAGACCTTCAAGTAGGCGTCGCCCTCGAGGACTGCAACCAGTCTGCTCTCTCGCATGCACTGCCAGCATATTCTGTCGGATTCTTCCAAATGGGGCACCCCTCTGGAGAGGAGCACCTGGCGCAGCGACTCATAAACTTTGTGCGTCGCCTTGCGCTTCGTAGAGATGCACAGAGCACATTTCATGTTGGTCGTAAGTGCCCGTCGCGACCAAAAAGGGCTACAAAGGTCGCAATATCGTCGTCAACTCTACCCGCCTTTTTTCCCTGCAGTTTGAAGGAAAAAAGGCGGGTAGAGTTGCAGTTCAAACGTCGTGGCCCGCTAAAAACAACCTACAAATAGCCCTTATGATATACCTGCGTTTTTGACCCATTCTAGAAAATATCGTCGTGCACATCCTTAAGCGGAGAAGGGTGATAGAAAGATAACGGTTGGGCGTGGGGGTTCTCGGTAACTTCACAGGTTGTTTGTATGGAAAAAGGTTCGCTTCGCTGTTCATTTTTCCTTCTCCCTCTCTGTAGAAATCTTTCTGTGTGTGTCCTCCGTCTAGTGCCTTCTCCACTCTTCTTTTCCCATTTTCATAGCCGCCGAGGTTCCACTTGAAAGCTCGTGCGGACTCATCTAGAAACCACCCAAAATTGTTCTAAAATCTGGCGTAAAATTCAATACATCATTTAGGGTTCACACGACCCTCCTTTCAGCGCACTGCACGGCGGTGCACAGTATATAATCTGCCCCGGTGTCTTGCTTTCCCAAGTCGTTCCCCCTCCTGCTTCTACATCGCCGACTAGCCTCCTAGAGATACCTTGTCCTCTACTCCGCGGCTCCTCACCGACACGCCTCGTTCTCACCCCGCGTCTGCTTCCGTCTTTGTAATTGTAACGCGCATATACCTCGACCGGGTGAGTCGCGCGTACGTGCTGTTTCAGCACTTGCGCGCGCTCCTTGGCCACTTTCCTTTATGCCGCTCGTTGAAGTGTTCCAATTATGCGTTCTGCGCGTCCATTCGACATAGGGGCATAAGCAAGCGCGGTTTTCCCATCAATTCCGTGCTTCTTCATGGGTTATCGAGTGCTGCTGCCGTAAGACAAGTCGCAATATCCGAAAAACTTATGACGGGTGAACTAGAACTGTAGATAAGCTCTTCCTCAATAAACTTCTTAACCTCTTCCGCCGTTAAAGTTGCAGTTGGCTTTGCAATTGGCCAGCTCGTGAGATGCTTGACGGCCACCAGCACGAATCTCTTGCCGGATCCCGACCTTGGCTGTGGTCCAGCGAAGTCCACAGAGAACGATCCAAAAAGGAGAGTTATTGGGAAATATAACGTCGTCTTGTACTTGGGGAGAGTGGTTGCCTTTTGGCATCCCTCACACCCGCGGACGCAACCTGACAGGTCTTTGTGGACCTCCGGCGACCAGCAGCGATCCAGCACAAACGTTTTTGTATTCTCCGAGTCCCAATTGCCTAACTCGTCGTGGAAAGCACGGACGATGTTCTTACGAGCGTTTTGCAAAGGAATAGCGCGCAAGACTGCAGTCATTCGGCAGAAGATGTTTCCATCGTGCGTCAGGAACCGTTTGACATTAAGATGGTTCAGTCGACGGTGTCGAGAGTCCAACTCTGTCATGTCAACACCGCGTAGGTATTTCGCAATGTCTTTCAAATATGACTCTAGGTCTAAAACGTCAATTGCTTGAATCTGAGAATCGCAGACAAGTTCACCCTCTTATTCCGGGTCTCCTCGCGGATTTCTTCCAACGCAAAGACGATTCAGTGCATCGACGGCTTTGTTCTTGTTGCCCGGACGGTACTGCACTTTGAACTCGTACTCGGCGAGAAATTCCATCCATGTAGCGAGGCGACCATGAATATCCTTCTTCTGGAAAGCGTACCGAAGAGCTTGGTGGTCGGTCCCCAACATACACTTCTGCGTAGATAAAATGTACACCCGAAACTTCTTCAGCGCAAATATAACGGCTAGAGCTCCACGCTCAATAGCCGAGTATTTCTTTTTGGCATCGTTCATCGCACGAATCGCGCACTGAACAGCAGTAATTTTGCCATATTCCTTGCACTGTGTGATCACAGCGCCAACAGAAACCGATGAAGCATCAGTTTCCGCGACAAAAGACTTCCCGAAGTGTGGAAACGCTAGAACCGGCGGTGAGGTCAGCTTCCGTTTCACATCTTCAAAAGCCTTCTGCATTTCTGGAGTCCATGCAAGGGTCCTCTTTACGGACATCGCTGCATGTGGCGTTGCTGATATCTCCAATCGGGGTATAAACCGGCGGTAATGGCCGGCAAGACCAAGAAAGCTGCGCAGCCTCGTAGTATTCGTTGGAGCCAGCTGCTGTTGGATAGCCCTGAACTTCTCTGGGTGTACCTCGATCCCTTGGGCGCTCACAATGTGACCCAACAGACGGATCTGCGATTGCGCGAAACTGCATTTAGAAATCTTGAGCTTCAGCCCGTTCTCACTGATTATATAATCAGTGAGAACGGGCTGAAGCCCGAATATTCGGATTACTTCGGTCAGATGAGCGACGTGCTCGTCTATAGACTTCGAAAACACTACCACTTCATCGAGTTAAACTCGCACAAATCGAAGCTCACGAAATAGTTGATCCGTCATCCTTTGAAAGGTGGAGTGAGCGTTCATAAATCCGAAAGGCATCACTTCAAACTGAAAAGTTCCATGACGACAGACGAAAGTTGTTTTCTCGTTACAGTTTTCCGCCATCCGGGCTTAAAGTCCGGATCTGGATTGGTTCTCTGGCTACTGCCAACTTTTCAGTAGCCAGAGAACCAATCCAGAGTAGTGAGCACTGTGCTTCCCTCCAGGTCATCGAAAATCTCTTCTATCTTTGGCAGTGGCCAGCGATCGGCCTTCATCTTTCGATTATGGGCGCGGTAGTTGACACAGAACCGACTGTTGCCGTCTTTCTGTGCCAAAATGACAATCGGAAACGACCAGGCCGAAACTAACGGCGTGATTATTCCGGCTTTGAGCATCTTGTCGCTTTCTTCACGAACGGCTTCGTTGTGGCGTGGAAGTAGCTTTCGTGTCGTATGCGTGATAGGGCACGAATCCTCTAACTCAAATACGTGTGTAATGGGAACATCGGCAGGCCTTAAGTCATTAAGTGACGAAGCGGCGACACCTGACTTCTTGATCGTTCCGCGAAGACGATTCCTTGCCTCCGCAGTCAAGTGGCTCAATTTTTGCGACAGCAGGGCAGAATGGGCCTCCTCGGGGCCGTCTTCGAACTCTACTTCGCCCTCCATGCCAGACTCAGGGTCTTGTTTCTAACGCTCTGGTATTTTTCCTCCACACAGCAATCTCCTCAACAGCCGCGGCGTCTATCGGCAGTTGCGGGCGTGAAGCCATCTCGGTCCCATCAGGTTCGAAAGGCATTTCATCACGAACTGCTAGGACCAGTCCACTTCCACTTGCAAAGGAAGAGTCGAGGGCGGCGTCAGTGTCCGACGTGAAATCCTCGCTATCCGTCGACGACCCCGGTAGCTCTCTTTTCTCTACTTCGATCTCCAATCCTTGCTTCATAGTCTGTTCTCCGATAGTAATCTGCACATGCTGTTTCCCCACATCCATACACGCTTGAAGTTTCTCTAGCGAAGGAAGTCCAATGATCAGATCAAAGGGCCTGCCTTCTACAACCAAGTAGTCAAGGTTGACGGTGAGTTCGCCAAACGACGTAGGGACATGTGGTAATGCCCCAATACATGGAGCATTACCACTGTCTGCTACAGCAATCCTCTTCTTACTCGGTTGGGGTGTAAGGCACAGCTTGGAGACGAGCTGCGGGGAAATGAGATGCAGTACTTCACCCGAGTCAAGCAGAGCCTACGCCTCGGTGCCGTGCACTCGGACGGCCACCAACCTCAGCTTCTGAGACCTCGTGTCAACATGACCAGCATAGCTATGCATGCCTTGGCACGGGTACGATTTCTTTGCCTAGAGAATAAGCAACCCATTTCTTTCTTTGCAGCCTTCACATCTCCACGATTAGCTGGCCAAACATCAATCAGGACGAATCGTTCGTCAGTTCTGCGAGGACATTATACTTCCCCACATGCTCCTGCAAGGCGGCCTTTTTACTCTTCGTCTTGCCAGCCTTCTTGTGACGAGTCCTTTTTTGGCCTGCAAGGAAGGGCGGGATGGCATCTGCCCCCTGACCTATCCCTGCCGCTGCAGGCGGGTTCAGAAGGTGGGGGATCGAGCCTTTTCCTGCATGCAGCGCTGCTTCTGGAGCGCTTCGTCCTCCGCGTTACGCTTAGCGGCAGTCACCATATCTTCTTTCGTTGTCTCGGCAATGTAGGTGACCCGTCCCGAGCTTGAGTTATCCCTAGCTACAGTAGCAGGCTTGTTCTGGGTCCCACTGCTGTGCAGAGGAGCCGTGGCCCTTCCAGCAGCTTTCTTCTCCGTGACCAAGTTTCCCGCAACTAGGACAGTGGTGGTACGATAAGGATTTGACGGACACCTGGTGGCACCATACCCGACATCATTGCAGAACGAACCGGTAGGCGTGTCGAAGGACGAGTGCTCTGCGTTTTTCTTCTTCATCAAAAGACAGAGCCCGGCCAACTTGTCCGCCAGCATATGTACTTTTCGTCGACCACATTTGAACGTTGCAACCGGTCAGGGCGTTGTAGAATGCTTCTCAGTGCAATTTGTTGTGGTTGGGACGGCGAATGTACGGAAAAGAATGCCTTCCGTCCCCCTTCCAAGTCTTTGAGTGCCTTGCGAAGCTCTTCGCAAGTACCTGCTGCACGATACAATACAAATAAAATATGAACTGAACGACATCTGTGTGCTCCATGATTGCGTTTCGGAGCAGTCCAAACTTAGCTTCGGCGTTAAACGGCGCCTTGTCGAAATAACGGTCCATATATATGGACCGCTATTTCGACAAGGCGCCAAGCCCAACAAGTCGCTTTGATTAAGACGACTGGAGACTGCTCGACGAACGCGCTCTTCTGGACCAGCAACCGATTCGAAGCGGTCCATCATAGCCTTCTTAACCGCCTGATAGTCACAAGCCTCTTCAGTCAGCTTACCATTACGACTGTAGGTGTCGAAGTAGAACTCAAAGGCGTACCCTTGCAGGTAGCCTAACAGTTTTCCAGCCTTGTTTTCATCGGATTTATCTCGCATCACGACATTCTCATAGACAAAGAAGAACTTAGCAGCATCTGCTGCCTGCGTAACGTCAAACACCAGCCGATGGCCCCCCGTGACTGTCGGCTTCGTCATTCCACAGGAGTACCACGTTTGTATGGAAAAGGTTCGCTTCGCTGTTTATTTTCCTTCTCCCTCTCTGTCGAAATCTCTTTGTGTGTGTCCTCCGTCTCGTGCCTCCACCCTTCTTCCCCCACTTTCATAGCCGCCGAGGTTCCACTTGGGACTCATCTAGAAATCCCCCGAAATTAGTCAAAAATCTGGTGTAAAATTCAATACATCATTTCGGGTTCACACAGGGTATAGTTCCGATTGAAACCTGTAGTATAACGACCGACGCGCGCGGAGGTTATGAATTCGGCGACCGGCACGGTGTATATGTGGGCGGGCGTGCCCACGTGTAGGCATCGCGCGCGTGTACTGATCGGTCGTGGCGTGGCGTACGTGTACAGTAGCACACGTGTCGTCTGTGCGATAGTCTACGGATATTACGCGTTTAAAGCAGCACTCGTGTGGTGCGTGTGGTAGTTGGTAGCCATTACGGGTGTACAGCAGCGCACACGAGTAGTGGCAGCATCCGCGCAGTGGTTAGTAATTCTTGTGCTAGCATTTTAACACGTAATTTTTTTAAAAAGGGGCACAAAAAACGGCCGATCTGAGACAATCTGAACCTGTGGGAAAACTGCGGAACCAAGCTTTCAGCACGTTTGTGGTATCCCAATAAAGCTCTGAATCATGTGATAATGGCAATCGCATTTTCTCGTGGATTTAGCATGCACGTGAAGGGCTGGTGAGGTCCCGTTTTCTGCTCGTTTGGCGCGAATGGACTAGATAAAAATATACATTTTATTGCATTTATGCTCACCCTCATACTCAACACCACCACAAAGCATGTGTCTCCCCGGCAGACAGTTCCTGAGCAGAAAAGCTATCTTATACCTTTCAAATCCACACCATTTACCACAGACTATGCATTATGCTCTCCTTGGTGCCGCAGCGACGTCACTTTGTTCCTAATTGCCTTGTCGGTCAGAAAATCCTCCGGAAGGGCATCATTGCTTATTTTCATGGTCTCACGGCGATTTATTCCCAGAGTACTAAGAATATATGCGACTGTTCTAACGTCCAACTTAGAAATATTTTCTCGAGCTTGGCGAAATGAAGCTTGTGCTTGTTGTCGAATTTCGGTTCGTGCGGCGGCAGAGGCACGACGTTGACTTTGAATTTGCTGCTTCGGCGGCCTGCCGCGACCTCTTAGAGGTCCTCGGCAGGTACAGGAAGGACAGCGGGGGCAATTCCCGCATAGTTGGCATGCCCGCTGGCGATGGCCACAAGTGCCCATTACCATCAAAGAAATCTGGACAGCGATGTTCAATGTCAGGGACGTCTGTCGGTGTGTGCTGGCAGTGAGGAGCGGGAGGCACGAGACCGTGAAAAGGACGTAGGGGGTGCAGGTGTCAGGGTTTGAAGAATTTTGGCAGCTGAGGTTCAATATCAGGGAGGTCTGTCGGTGTGGGCTGGCAGTGAGGAGCGCGAGGAACGAGACCGTGAACAGGACGTAGGGGCTGCAGGCGTCAAGGTTTGAAGAATTGTGGCAGCTGAGGTTGGCTTGGCAAGTCGGGGGAGGGGATGGGGGAGATGAAATCGCCATGTGTCAATTGCCCACTTTCATGAACCAGAACTGCCTCTGAAAAGACAGGATGGTTCAGTGAAACATCTCTTGCTTGGCAAAATGTCGCGAGAACTAAATTCTGATTATATTTTTCGAGTCCATTTTGGGTGAGATTTGGTTGTTACACCCCCTACAGGTAGGTTAACCAAGCGCCAGAGGGTCACCTTCCCAACCTTTAATCTCTAAAAAACTCGGCCCGTCCATTGGTGGAATCTCAAAGGAGCTTCTACCGTTGACAGATTCAACGAGCACCGAACCCGCAATTTTTTTGGATCCAGAGATGTCTCCTGAGATGTGCCCATTTTTAAAAAAATTACGTGTTAATTTTATACAGTACCCACTACGCGCTAGGGGCCGGTACTGTACTGTAACAGGTGTGCCAGGCGTCCCCAAGAGGGGTTAAGACCCGACACCCGTCCCCACCAGGAAACTGGGGCAAGCTCGCCCCCGTCCCTTTCGCGTCTTATCAACCTCTCTTCGGTAGTTTATTCGCGCGCTGGCTTCTAACCTGTTACCAGTCGCCGTCGTATACTCACTTCGGAGCGACTGCGCGTAACCGCCCAGTGTGAGCCCCTCCCTTTTCGCCAGTTCGTCCGTGCCGGTTCAATTAGCGCACCGCGCGTCCACGTCGCGTACTCCCTCGGTGAAAGCTCCACCTCTCTCCCAACCAAGGGTAGAGGGGAGTTGTCCCACAGTTCCCACAGCAGCTTAACCAGCTCGCCGAACTCGGACGTTTATTTGCTGGAATACATAACATGTCCAACAGCAGTCACAATACTCCCCAGCGCCGCCCAGCGCAGCACCGCAGAATGGCTCGAGCTCGAAGTGCGACTAGTCACGCGTAGGTCAAGCTGAGCATGATCACGACGGTGGCATCGACATGCATGCGCTTCAGACCCTTGAGAATACCGTAAACTCAGGCCCTCGAGGTCAACAACGGCGATCGTAAGTACATACTGGACTCCTGGGCTTATCCAACACGCATTAATCACCGCGCCAATCACATAAAACCACTCCAACGCCCTGTAACAACCCAAACCGCCACATCACCGTCATCCAATACAACGCACCAGGGGATCCTGAAACTTCAGATCCGTAAGGGCTTCACTTCGCGACGAAATACCATCATAAATCCGGACGTAG